TATTTTTAGATGTTTATTTTCTATCTGCGAATAATGAATGTAAAATCTAGTATGTTAAAGATGGTTGCTTTTGCTTTGAAATACTGAATGTACAATGCACCAATGTGAGTTTAGAGAGGAAATTTACTCTGTAAATTTTTGCTATTTTCAAATTGTAATTGTTGTGGTGAAAACTGTATCAGTGATATCTTTGGGAGGAAATCTACTCCGTAAAATATTGTTATATCAAGGATAGTCGCTTTTGAATTGACTACTGTATGTTAACTGTATTAGTGTCATTTTTGAGAGGAAATTTACCCTGTAGATTTTTGCCTTTTTCAAATTGTAATGTTGTAGTGAACACTATATCTGTGATAGTCTTTGGGAGGAAATTTACTCTGTAAAATCTAGCTGCGTAAAAGATGGTTGATTTGGCATTGAAATACTGAATGTACAATGCACCGACGTGAATTTAGAAAGGAAATCTACTCTCTAGATTTTTGTTAATAACAAACTGTAATGTAAGTAGTGAACACTCTATCAGTGAAATTCTTTGGGAGGAAATTTACTCCGTAAAGCCTTGTTATCTAAAGGATAGTCGCTTCTGAATTGACTACTGTATTTTTACTGTATGAATGTCATTTTGAGAGGAAATTTCCTCTCCAGATTTTTACTATTTTCAAATTGTAATGTAGTTGTGTACACTATATCAGTGATATTTTTGGGATGATATTTACTCCTTAAAATCTATACTAGCTGTGTAAACGATGGTTGATTTGGCTTTGAAATACTGAATGTACAATGCACCGACGCGCATTCTGAGAGGAAATTTACTCCGTAGACTTTTTTCTATGTTGAAATGTAGAAGTGAACAATGTATCAGTGATATTCTTTGGGAGGAAATTTAATCCGTAAAATCCAGCTATGTTAACGATAGTTGATTTGGCATTGAAATACCGAATGTACAATGCACCGACGTGAATTTAGAGAGGAAATTTACTCTCTAGATTTTTGTTAATAACAAACTGTAATGTAAGTAGTGAACACTCTATCAGTGAAATCTTTGGGGGGAAATTTACTCCGTAAAGTCTTGTCATATCAAGGATAGTCGCTTCTGAATTGACTACTGTATGTTTACCGTATATGTCATTTTGAGAGGAAGTTTCCTCTCTAGATGAAATGTAGTTGTGTATACTATATCAGTGATAGTCTTTGGGAGGAAATTTACTCCGTAAAATCTAGCTGTGAAAAGATGGTTGATTTGGCTTTGAAATACTGAATGTACAATGCACCAACGTGCATTTCGAGAGGAAATTTACTCTGTAGATTTTTGTTAGTACTAATTTGTAATGTTAGTAGAGAAAACTGTATCAGTGAAATTCTTTGGGATGAAATTTACTCCGTAAAATCTAGCAATGTAAACGATGGTTGATTTGGCATTGAAATACTGAATGTACAATCTACCGACGTGAAATTAGAGAGGAAATTTACTCTCTGGATTTTTGTTAGTAACAAACTGTAATTAAAGTAGTGAACACTGTATCAGTATAATTCTATGGGAGGAAATTTACTCCGTAAAATCTAGCTATGTAAACGGTGGTTGATTTGGCATTGACATACTGAATGTAGAATGCACCAATGTGAATTTAGAGAGGAAAATTACTCTCTAGATTTTTGCTATTTTCAATTTGTAATTGTTTGGATTGAATACTGTATCAGTGATAATTTTTGGGAGGAAATTTACTCCGTAAAATCTTTTTATATCATGGACAGTCGCTTTTGAATTGACTACTGTATGTTAACTGTATAGTGTCATTTTTGAGAGGAAATTTACTCTGTAGGTTTTTGCCTTTTTCAAATTGTAATGTTGTAGTGAAAACTGTTTCAGTGATAGGTTTTGGGAGGAAATTTACTCCGTAAAATCTAGCTATGTAAACGATGGTTTGTGTTCTTTAAACTTTTAATATTCGCACCAATAAATATCTTGTAAACTGTGTTATTTGTTGAGTTTTGTCAATACCTAAGGGCAATATGCTTAAAACAGAAAAAAAGATTTCCGTTTTGATTTTGGAATGCGTTATATATAAACATGTAGGTTCTTACGTGTATTCTAACGCGCGGTGACAAGTTTTGGCGTGTGGCACGGTTACTGTACATTCGTGGATTTCTAATGGATTTCATAAAGAAAATTACACCGAATGTAATTTTCCATATTAATAATTCCTATCTGAATTTACTTATCATGCTAAATGCTAAAATTGGAGCAAAATTTTGATTTCAGCACGCCTGTCAGAGATAACCGTTGACCTCATTCTTGACAGACATTTACAAAAGATTTTTAGTTTTGTCATTTAAGATTACTCCTTGTACAAATTCGAATGTAAAAAAGAAAAATATCCAGATTTCTGCAATTTATGTAACACTTTTAATAATCGAAGAGAATTAAAACCATATTGTAGTCCTAATTTTGTTGCCCAAGTTAAGAAATCATGCAATTTCAGAGACATATAAATCCTGTCTCTGGTAAGTTATTATCATTTATTCTCTAAAAAGACAAATATAATATAGACAATAGATACAATTAGGAATAAAAATTGAACGAGCTACCTTTACTATTACTTAAAGAACGGTTCTTTGCATTGGTTCGAAAGTATACTTCCGTTTAAATCATAAATCAGTATGAATCAAGATTTCCTTAATAATTTTTTTTTAATTTCTTAAAAAGTAAAAAGATAACCCGATTTGATATAAAATCAATCGATTATACACAAAATAAAGTGGAAAATCAAATGACAACAACATCTGAAAAACATTGAATGTTCACACGATTAGCCAATGACATTTCAGGTTACATCAGTTAAAGTTCATTCATGCTTGAAAATTATTAACTGGAGTGTGCAGTACAGCCGCAAAACGGACAAGATGGGGAATCATGGATAAACTTTGGCTGCATTTATACAAATCTTATCGCACTGAAGAATGTGAAACGGATTTTGTTGATCAAGATGTAGACCAGTGCTTTGGTATTATTTTGTTCTTTGATTGTTAACATCAAGAGTTGCAAAGCCATATGGGCATCTTTCCATAAACAGCTGATTTTTGTCTCTCCCTTCTCCACGATTAATAATGGCTTCATTGCAACGTGAACACAGCATGGAAGTAGACCCACCCCCTGGCCCCTCCAATAACCAGCCCCCCACGTCAAGTGGCTGGTCTCTGAAACGTCAAACAGCACGCCTATGATCAATGTTTTGGTCTCTCAACCAGAAATCAGGTAGGTCATTCACTCATTGTCCATTTAATACATGTAATACATCATGGCTCATCAAAACGTTTACGTTTTCATATGCTTTGCTCTATTTTTTCATAAAGAATTTAATTTCTGGATAGGTATGGCATTTTAGAAAAGATAGACACCAATCATCTTGATCATACTGAAATTAAAGTCTGTCCATGCATGCATTCATTAACGTCAAAATGATATGTTTTACGGTGTGACCGTTGGGGCCATCGCAGTTGTATCATAAAAAACGGGGTAGACTTTACTTTTCCAGGCCCCAGATCCACAAGATCCTTATGCTCATTGGACTATGACGTAACATTTACGTCACGCAACTGAAATGGGTTAAAATTGCAAACTATTCGACTGATAAGGGTTAGTTTTGCACCCACCTGAGAGATTAGGGTTAGTCCTTGCACTAGTATTTGACTGATTAGGGTTAGTCTCGCCTCCATCCAAGAGGTTAGGGTTAGTTTTCGCACATTATTCGACTGATTAGGGTTAGTTTGGCATCTGGCCGGGATATTTCATCTAAATGTCTTAGTCCGTGCATACCATTCGATGGATCAGGGTTAGTAACTTTTTTTTTTGTTTTTTGTTTTTTTTTTGCATAAGTAAAGAAATTTAGTTGTTTCTATTATTTTTTCCAAGATCATTTAATTCAGCTTTGAAGAAATTTCGTTCGTTTTTTTACATGGATGAATAGCTGCAGATGTGTGCTCTCCGTAAAAATATATATTGATAGACCGAAGAGCTACAGTGCCACCCATTGAAAAAAAACTGTACATTTATTGGGACAAAAAAGCGTGCAAAAAATGTACAGTGTTTGCAATGGTTGGCACTGTAGCTCTCCTGTCTATAAATATATTTTTTCGGAGAGCTACAGATCTGCAGCTAATGGAAGAATAGCTAAGTTCGAAAGAAATGACACTAAGCATCCGCCGCTCGCCCTTTGTTAAGAATTATTCTTTGACGATTTTTTTTCCATGAATATACAATGTTTTTTTTTTTCAGAGAACAAGTTATAAACTAAGCTTTTAATCATAGAATTCAATTTTGGGGTCATAATGCCAAAAAACTTTGTATTTAAAAAAAAAATTCGATCTCTAGCACGATGTCTTATAAAGTGAAGTCGCATTAAGAGACATTACATTTTAGTGCATTTTTCTGGGAACAGGTAAAGTAAAGTTGTTCCAAAAAAGCTTGAAAAATTGATCAGACGTCAAGCCACACAATACATCTCGACTAGCTGTGACGTCACACGACATCACGGAGCTCCTCGAGCTTACAGAGACAGCCGAGCGTCTGGTTGAAACTTTAGACCTAGTGCAATTTTGGTCGAGTTATTTTTTGTGTCTTCGAAAAGGTTTTTTTATGCTTTACGTTATTATTCATTTATTAATTCATGCAAAGGACATTAGGTAGCGCAGGAATTCTGGGAATGTATCACAGAGAAATTTGCCTGACGTATACGTTTGTACAGATTTCATTACGAATTTCCTCTATTTAAACACGTTAGTCTATTGAGCTCGCTTCGCAACACTCGCTGCGCTGGCTTTTGAAAATTAATTCAAATGCTGTAATGTCATTAAAAATAATATTTTTGGTAATGTTGTCACAGATCTTTTGTCAGAAATAAAGAGATGTTTTAAAATATATTTACAATATTTATTACATTTTTACATCAATATTTTTTCTTTATTTTGTTTGATCTAATAAAAGTTAAAAGTTCATGTTATTTCACTGTGTGCTACTAAGGATGGCGCTGTGGCCCGTAATGGCGGCACTTCCGTAGGATGGCGCTGTGGCCCGTAATGGCGGCACTGCCTCGTCTGGTCCTTCCTGACTGAATATATACTAGGACCCCTCCTTCGAACTTTTACAACTACTAGGACTACTAGGATCTTAGGATCTATTGAATGTTTAAAATAAAAACATATTGTAATTGTTTGTTAAATTATGTACATATACTTCATATACAATACTTAATATGCATATTTTCCTATACATATTTTTACTCGTACTTTGTACTCAAGATATATATACACTTTAGACATGCCTATTTTACGAAGAATATATATTGCAAGTGTTCACCTTACTACTGTACAAACACATATTACATGTACAATGCTACTGACGCATTGTTACTACTTTGAACACACTTCGAGTACAATATTACTACTTACTTACTACAATCCTTACGACGCATCATTACTACTGAATATAAGTATATTATATACACAATTCAACAATATGTTTACTTCAAACAACTTTACCAAAAAATGTACTGCGGCGAAGTAACTTGGCAGAATTTGCAGATATACGTTTACTTAAAATAAACATTAAACTGAAATACTCTTACCTCAGAAGTGAGTAGGATTTCTGGTACATATGAAGATAAATAACAATGAAAGACGTGGTGTAATCTGGCAAAGGAACAACGGGTCCTTCTATGGTGCCTGCTACGCCCAAACTGACCAGCACGAGCTATTTAAAAACCTCACCCGTCCAGTGAGTTTAAACTTCTATATATAGTACTATGGGCAAACGTGTGGGATTTAAAATACTAATTACAAGGGTAAAATACTATGAAACACAGTTTGGACATTAAATGTGACAATCCTCCCCCCTTAAAGAAGTACGAACTACTTTCAAACAATACATTTACGGGACAAACTTTCATACTCACTCACATACATACTAATACAAACAACAATGAAATAAATATCGCTTTTAAAAACAAAATTTATTTACAATACTCTGAGAATGTCTATTTTTTGTATCTCTCCAACTGGCAAAATAATCACAAACGCCTTAAATAGTCTGCGCCGACGTTTTCCTTTCCTCGTAAGGAGACGATGCGGAACCTGTAAGGTTGCAACTTTAACGACCATCGCATAAGTCTCGAATTAAGAAGTTTTGAACTATTGAGGTACGTCAATGGCTGGTGATCCGTTTCTAGGATGAATTCCCGGCCATACAAATACTTGTGAAACTTCTCTACAGCCCATACTATGGCCAAACATTCCTGTTCTATAGTGGAAAAGTTTTCTTCAGCTTTGCTAAGCTTCCTGCTGATATACGATATCGGTTGCTTTTGACCTGTAATTTCCTGGAGTAGGACTGCACCAAGTCCTCGGTCTGAAGCATCAGTCTGCACTATAAACACTTTTGACAAATCTGGAAGCTTCAAAATTGGAGAAGATGTAAGTGTTTTCTTCAAATTTTGGAAGGCAATCTCTTGTGACTCGGTCCACTGTAACTTGTTTGGAGAATACTTCCTTGTTAGGTCTGTAAGAGGTAGTGAAATGTGCGCACAGTTGGGAATGAATTTGCGGTAAAAATTCACTAACCCGAGAAATGACCGTAACTGTTTCTTTGTCTCTGGTCGATGCGCTTCTTCGACTGCTCTCACTTTATCTGGATGTGGCTGTATCATCTCCTCTCCAACAATGTGTCCCAAACACTCTAACTTACTGTAAGCTATGGCACATTTGGTTGGTTTTGCAGTCAAGTTGGACTCTCTAAGCCTCTGGAGAACGTTTGTGAGAACTTCAAGATGATCCTCAAAAGTCATAGAATATATCAAGATGTCATCAATAAAGCTGTTTACATTTGGTATATCTCGCAGAACAACGCGCATTAATCTACAGAATGTTGCAGGCGCTGTGACAAGTCCAAATGGCATTCTTGTAAATTGAAATAATCCAAGTGGTGTTTGGAATGCAGTTTTGGGTCGCGATTCCAAAGTAAGAGGCACTTACCAATAGCCTTTTGAAAGGTCTAGCCGTGAAAAGTACATATGTCCAGCTAACTTGGCAAACATTGCATCAATGTCTGGCATTGGTTCAGCATCAAAGATTGTGATAGGATTCAACGAACGGAAATCAACGCAGAACCGGTAAGTACCGTCTTTTTTTGTAACCAACACAATGGGCGATGAATACGGACTCTCTGAAGGTTCAATAACTCCCAATTTAAGCATTTGTCTTACCTCTTCCTTTACTGTTTCCGTCATGGAATAAGGAACTTGTCTGGGAAGTTGTACCAATCGATCTCCTGGATTTCATCATTAGTGGACTCAGCATCGGATAGGATGTTGCAGTCAAGCGTCAAACACTGGTTCTGTTCACGTTCTACGTAATGCTTCAGTAGATTGATGTGAAAGGTCTTAATCTTTCCATTCATTTCGATCTGATAATCTACCTTGTTGACTTATTTCCGGATGACAAATGGTCCCTTCCACTGCATCAGCAATTTGTTACTATCTGTTGGCAGCAACACGAGAACTTTTTCTCCTTCCTTCAATGTACGACTTCTGGCCTTTCTATCATAAACTTTCTAATACCTCTTTGATGATTCTTCAAGTGTGTGATGTGCTAGTTCGCACGTGGATTCCAAACGGTCTATTAGGACCAAAACATACTGATACGTGGTCTTTTTTTTCAGGATCTTTGATTTCCTTGGTCCAGAGTTCCTTTAGAATTGTCATTGGCCCTCTCACAGGTCGATTATATACCAAATAAAACGGGGAGAATCCCAGGCTTTCTTGGGGGACATCTCTATAGGCAAATAGTAATGCAGGGAGGTATTTATCCCAATCTTTAGGACGGTCAACACATATTCTTTTCAACATCTGCTTCAGGGTACAATTGAAGCGCTCAACTAAACCATTACACATGGGATGGTATGGCGTCGTAGTCAGTTGCTTCATTGAGATGAGTCTGCTTACTTCCTTCATAAGAGCTGACGTAAACTGGCTACCCATGTCTGTGAGCATATCTTGTGGAACACCTATTCGGGAGAAAATCTCAACCAATGCTTCGGCGACGCGCTCTGTGTCAATTCCTGGTAATGCAATCGCTTCTGGATATCTGGAGGCGTAATCCACGAGCGTCAAAATGAACCCATTTCCTTTGTCAGTCGGTGGATGCAAAGGACCAACAATATCCACTGCTACCCTTCTGAACGGAACATCTATCAGGGGCATCTCAGACAATGGCGCCTTGGATACTCGTCCTTTCGGCAACGTGCGTTGACATATATCGAAAGAACGGCAGAATCTCTTAATCTCAGATTTCATCCCTGGCCAATAAAATTCGGTCTGGATTCTGTGTATAGTCCTATTCGTAGCTAAGTGTCCTGACATGATACATTCATGAGCTAACCTCATAACAGTCTCTCTGTATTTGGATGGAACAACTAGCTGACTGTACGTTTTGTCTCCTTTGTATTCTCTGTACATTAAACCATCTCTGGAAAACCATGAAACCTTGCCATCTCGGGAAATCTTCCGCTCCTTTACATTCTCTCGGACAATAGATAGAGTTGAGTCACCCTCTTGCTCCTTGCGAATGTCCTCTGGTTGAATAGTGTCAACTACAATCTCTGGAACCTTAAGTTGCGGGTATGGTCTTGCCTTATCCCTTCTTTGTTGTCTTGTTTCTACGTCGATTACTGCTTGCCATTCTGGGTTTGGATCATACGGCTTTCTTGCATCACTTACTTCACCAATGATGAGGTCAAATACTGGAATGTCCATGCACCAGACTTCATAATTACTTGTCAAATATAGAGAATCGATATCTATGCGTGCAACAGGGAAAACTCTTTCGGTACTATCAGCAAGAATACAAGTGACGTGTTCTCCAGTAAACTGGTCATCTTGTACTAAACTCTTTCTTACCACAATGTTCTTGCAGCCTGTGTCTCGCAGTAGTGTGACTGGACGTCCATTAACATATCCTGCTGACAATGGTAACTGCTGACTTTTGTTGTGACAAGCTGAACTAAGAATCATAGACTCTTTAGTATGACTTACCCAGGAATCAATTGATGGGTTACTGGTAACTATCAAAGCACTACAGTTGACTATACCTGATTTCTTGTTATCGTCTGAACTCTCAAGAACAGCTCCGGAAAACTTACCCTTACCTTTAGTTGGACAATTGGGTGCTATGTGTCCTTTCTTATCACATATGTAGCACTTACGCTCCGATAATGCTACGAACACTTTTGACTTTTCTGGGAGCTGGGGTTTATGTGTGTCCTTACCTTTTGCTGATTCAACTGCTGGTTGCTTCTTCAAAGGTGTTTGGCACAGATGTGAAACATTTGAATTTCTAGACTCGGAAAACTGATCAGCAAGTTTACACAACTCATCTGCTGTTTTCGGTACATTTTGTCTCAAAAATGTTGTTAATTCCAGATTGCAAACGTGTAGAATTTGGTCTCGCAAAATCAGATCAAACAAGCCATCTACTGTCTTTGGTATCTTGGACATCTCAATCCATCTTGTCAAATATGATCCTAATCTTACCGTAAACTGCGTAAACGTTTCACCTGGCTCTGGTCTACTAGATCTGAACTTCCTCTTTAACCCATCTTCCGTCATCTCGTATCTATGAAGAAGAGCTGACTTCAGTTCATCGTAATCTTGGGCTTTTGCTGAAGACATCAATGCATATACATCTAAAGCTCTACCGCGTAACAAAGCACTAAGACTTGTGGCCCACGTTTTCTTGTCCTAATTTTGAGATATCGCATACCTCTCAAAACGACGAAGATAACTGTCAATTTCATCATGCCTTTCATCAAACAGTGGAATTTTCGGCATTTTCGCTTTGATCTGCAAATCCTTATCTACATTCTTACCTGTATCATTTTTCATCATCATATCAAGCTCATGCTTATGTTCTAATTCTTTCAATTTCAACTGCCGATCTAACCTCTCCAGTTCTAAATTATGTGCTCTATCCTCTTTCTCTTTCTGTCTTAAAGCCACTCTTTCATCTCTCAACCTATCCTGCTGCTCTTTCACATAATCTTTCAAATCTTGATCAGTATACCCTAAGTCTTTTCCTGCAGCTATGATTTCGCTTAAACTTTCCGATGACATTCTGAATGAAATTGTGGTGACAATTAAGTTTCATATACTTTAACTAACCGACAGACACTGTGACTTTTGACCTTCACTATAAGCACAGACACTGTGACCTTTGACCTTCACTACAACTCTAACCAAACAGTTTGTATACTAATACTTCACTACAACCACTAACTACTCACTGACTACTAAAAGTATACATTACTTATACAAACTGACGTGCGAGCTTGGGCGACACAGTACCAATCTAAATAGGGACAATTAAATAAAATTGACTTTACCGTTTCTAGTCTGTTAGCTTCACACAACCAGAATCTTCAACTCACGTCTAAGGTACGCCTTTACTTTTCAAAGATTCACTTCTGGATCCTAGTTACCAAAAAGAACCGCCAAATTTCTTCTCCTACAATGTGTATAAAAAGTCGTAAAACTTGTACAGAATGAAAATACAAAAGATATTCACAAAATTGTTTAAATTCTAAATAATCTTATAATTTGATATTTAAAGAAAATGAAATAGAATATTTATGTCTGACAAATTTCTGTGTTACATTACTTTATCCCACTTCTGACACCAATGTCACAGATCTTTTGTCAGAAATAAGGAGATGTTTTAAAATATATTTACAATTTTTATTACATTTTTACATCAATATTTTTTCTTTATTTTGTTTGATATAATAAAAGTTAAAAGTCCATGTTATTTCACTGTGTGCTGCTAAGGATGGCGATGTGACCTGTAATGGCGGCACTTCCTTAGGATGGCACTGTAGCCCGTAATGGCGGCACTGCCTCGTCTGGTCCTTCCTGACTGAACATGTACTAGGATCTCTCCTTCGAACTTTTACAACTATACTAGGATCTATTGAATGTTTAAAATAAAAACATATTGTAATTGTTTGTTTAATTATGTACAGTACCCGCATCGTTATTCTTTACAATATACATGATACGATAGGATACACGCACTATACGATAGGATACACGCACGATACGATAGGATACACGCACGATAGGACAGGATACACGCACGATAGGATAAACGCAAAACACGATAAACGCAAAACACGATACACGCAAAACACGATAAACGCAAAACACGATAGACCTGATAAACGATCTTCACGATAGGATAAACGCAAAACCTGACAGGATTGTTTCAAAATGCGGAACGTTTTCTGACAAGACGAAAAGATTATTTTGTTTATATATTGTTACTGCAATATTTTAATTTAAATACTTGCAGAGCTTCAAATCTAGCCTATAAATTACATTTAATTCTAATAATAATAAAAATTGAGATTTCCGTGGTAATTTTACAAAAGTTATTTATTTATATAAACAAAAATTTGACAGTGATTAAATGGATTATTATGAAATGGAGACTTTATTTTTTTTTTAATTTCTTATCAAGGGTGTGAATTTACGATTATTTTGTTAATGTCCAAAATTCTCATCTTAAGGTTGAAATATGAATCATTTTATTATGGATATTTTAGCAAACATGTAATTGTTGCACAAAAATCCCTTACATGATTATGTACCGTTTCTCACGGGTACTGTTATAAATATTTGAAACTCTATAAATAGATTTATTATTTATGAAAAAAAAAATTAATTTTCTTTCTAATAAATTTATCTACAAGTACCAAGTTTTTCACGGAAGAAATTAACGCAATGAATTAAATATTTGTATTTAATGTCTAAAGCTTACAATCTGCGATGTATCAAAAAATCGAAATTGAATATCAATATCTTAGGAAAAAAAAACAAGTAGAAGACCAGCCGACTGAAAGGTTGAAAGAAAACGGCTTTAACAAAATTAATAAATTTAACATGATCTATCAAGAATTAAACAGTTCAAGAAAATTAATTTTCTGAATAGAAATCTAAGTAATTGCTAAAAAAATGGCGCTCTGCATTAACACATGTAAACGGTGTCAACAGAATATGAATCTGCTACAACTGCACATGTATACATTTACGCTAAGCTCTGACTTATGTACATGTAAACATTTTAATATATGATACTTAAAATCTCGTATTTATTAACGAACATTGAATGGTTAAATCATTTTTTCTTTTCAATACAAAACAGAAAAATTAATTAACAAATATTAAAAGAGTGAAATGCGACATTTCCGACTAAATAATTATAAATCATCGCTATTAAACTTTGTGTGTACTGTTTCTTATAATAACAAAAATAGGTTTAATTCGGCAAATGAATTATTAAACCTGAAAAATCATTTTAGACTTACACGGTAATCTCATATGAGGCATATTTGAAGGGCGAGATGTTGAAAGTCCGTAACCAATTTAAAATTAGATAAACAAGATCTAACCAAATAGCCAAATATAATATTGAATTCTTAAATAAAGTTATATACGTATGGAATGAATTCAATTTATACTATAAATTAATTCAGTGTATTTACTCGTCTTGCACGGTCACGGCGGAATCAGACGACTTCTTTTGTTTTATTTTAATAGTAAGATACCGTAAAAAAATAATTCTAGCTAATTTTCATAGTTTAGAATGTTAGAACTATTTCATTCATTTCTACGATCAATGAATTTGTTTCCTAGAATTAATTTTGTCCGTATTACGTAGAAAACCCGATGAACCGAACGTGCGTGTACCATAAGTGCAGTATTTTTTTTTTTAAGTTTATTAAAAGACTTATTTACATAAACATTATGGATTGATTGATTGATTGCATATTGTTTAACGTCCCTCTCGAGAATTTTTCACTCATATGGAGACGTCACCGTATGCCGGTGAAGGGCTTCAAATTTTGACCTTTACTCGGCACTCAGGGCCATTGAGCAGGGAGGGATCTTTATCGTGCCAACGCCTGCCGCTGACACGGGGCCTCGGTTTTTAAGGTCTCATCCGAAGGACCCGCAACTTTCACTTCAAAGTGCCGAGCGCATGGCGAAGGAACAGTTGCTACCAATTTTTACGACTAGGTCAGTCGCGGCCGAGATACGAACTCACGACCTCCCGATCACGGAGCGAGCGCTTTACCGACTGAGCTACCGTGAACGGTCATAAACATAATGGAAACAACGTACGAGATGAAATAAATCAGCTGATTGAGTTCAGGGACTTCATTTCATTAAATTGATTTATTTGAATTATTATTTAACATTCAAGCAATGAGATGATTTTTTAATCCATAAATTGTACAATTATTAAATATAGTTTGAATTAAATCTTTGATAAGTTTGTTCAAACAAGTTAGGTAGTATTCGAGGTTACTTATTGACCTCAGGTGAGAAATCAGTACAGGTAATGTTGACGGTTAATGTTCACACACACGGGCCGAGGTGTCAGTTAGGGGAGAAGGGGGAGGGGGATGGATGACCGCACAGGAAGACAGTGTGCTAATTAGAGGGCTACACATACGTGTCATTTTTCTGGTAAGGAAAGGTCTTCGATTTATTTTGATTTTTGACATCCCGATGGATTATATTTTCAGTTTATTTCCACGCCGAAAAGGTAAGCTGTTAAAAAACATCATGTTTTTCCCTGTATATATTATTTTTATGTTATCTAATGCCAGATAAAATTAATGAAAAACTTCTATTCTATAGTAACAGCTATGGTGTGATAAATTTGGTAGAATATTTTCATGCATTATATTTAATAATTTTGATATTTTAAAATTAAATTTAGACATATATCAAGGAATTTATAATTAGCTATAAAAAATTTAAAATTTGAACGTATACGGTCAAAATCGTCTGTAAAATTATTTGGATCAATGTTTTATTATTTTTGTAAAATCAAGACTTTTAATAAATCTGCATACATGCAGATCAGAGGCGTAAACATATTACTAATATTATCAGACGATAAACAAGGAAAAACAGAATATTGCGTAAAAAAAAGATACATATCAATATCCTGCTTATTATTTATTTATTTGCTTTTTGTGTACGCAAACATCGTAGCTTACCAAAAATCTTTCTCCGGTAACTCTAATTCATTTAAGATAATCATATTAATAGTATTTAATTTTGACAAAACAAATCATACAATTCGATAAATTATTTTTAAAAAAGACAAGGTGATCGATCTACTTATAATTTCATTTCCAAAAAATGGAGTTACTGTTTAAATTTTGACAATCACTCTCTGCTTAGCCGTGATATAATTATTTTATTTATTTTTAATTTGTTTATTAATGAATCAATTTATTCATTCATGAAATACGCTATTACTTTCTTAAATCTTTCTACGCTTTAATATTTCTTATATTGATGAAAAAGAAAGGGATAAAACTTTATTTTCTCTTTTTCGGTTGGATTAATCTTATTTTTATTAACAAAACGAAAAAGAAACTCGGAATTGCTCAGTAGTTTCTTTCAACAGTAAAGATAAAAAGCGAGGGTTTCCGAATATACACGATAAACGCAAAACACGATACACGATAGAACCTGATAAACGATCTACACGATAAACGCAAAACACGATAAACGGAAAACACGATAGAAAACGCAAAACCTGATAAACGGAAAACACGATACGATAGGATACGATAGGATACACGCACGATACGATAGGATACACGCACGATACGATAGGTTACACGCACGATAGAACACGATAGAATTGTAAAGAATAACGATGCGGGTACTGTACATATACTTCATATACAATACTTAATATGCATATTTTCCTATACATATTTTTACTCGTACTTTGTAATCAAGATATATATACACTTTAGACATGCCTATTTTACGAAGAATATATATTGCAAGTGTTCACCTTACTACTGTACAAACACATATTACATGTACAATGCTACTGACGCATTGTTACTACTTTGAACACACTTCGAGTACAATATTACTACTTACTTACTACA